TTTTTCGTCATCTTGGAAAAGAGCTGCACCTGGGTTTTATTCAGTAGAGGAGTGACTTGAAGAGGAATGACTGAGAATTGTGGGAAATAGGTGAGCACTGTGAGCTGAGCTAGGTGGGTGGCCTACATTTATCTCTGCCACATGCAGAGGAAGTAATTTGCATTATTCTATTGAGATAGTATCTAATGTTTTGGGGGTCTGGTGCTTTAGCTCTGATGTCATCTTTCAAGCCCCAGGAAGTCATAGCCTCTGTCTCAAGGCTGCATCCCAGGTGGCAGCGTGGAGCATCGGCTCTTTGTTCTCTCTGGACCCTGCTCACATTAGAGAGCAGCAGGTGTTACCAGGGAAACACGCATGCCACCTTCAAAGACTGTCACTAGCACCTCAGCTACACTAATATACATTGCTTAAGGCCAATTGAAAGGATAAAGAGAAGCCCTAGCCAGCTCTGTACATATCAATACAAGGAAATAGGGTCAGGTGGTCCTCCACAAGATGACATGCCACACAGAGCGAGCATAGGTGCAAAAATAAACTGACACTGAACATGTTTGGGAAGAGTTCTCACAGCACTCACCTGCCACTGCCACATGTAGTGGCATCCCTGTGTTCTCAGCGTGGAGCTTCCTTAAGATTGCAACCCTCTTCTTTTTTATCGCTCAGTCACCTCCGTCTAGCCTGGGGCTGTGGACATTGTATCTGTTCCACAAATACTTGTCCCATGAAACCCTAAAATTCAGGACCATTGGGCAAACTGCTTCATTTTTCTGAATGTCAGTTTTCTTATCTAAAATATGGACAATAACAGGGTTGTTGTGAAGATGAGACAAAATGGCAGAATTGAAATGTTCAGTCAGTAATAAAATACTTTGCAAATAAAAGATCATAGGCTCTCAGACAGGTTCAGTCGCTATTTCTTGAGACCTAGAATCTGATTGGAGATGCACACTGGGTGAGTTTTGGTTCTATCCACAGCTCTGCTGAGTCTTAAGTTCCCGCTTGGGGCTGCCTCTTCTCCCCTGCCTTGGGAGATAGTGCAGGACACATGTGCAGATGCTGAGCCCAGGACCTCGACTCTCCCAGTGCCTTGTCACTCAAAGTATGGTATGTGGCCCAGCAGTTGAGCTTCTTCCAAAAGTAAATTCTTGAGCCCTCCATCTCTACCCAGATCTACTGAGTCCAGAAACTGGAGAGTGGGTCTTTATAATTTGTTTTAACAAACTTCCAGGGAATTCCAGCGCACCCAAGATTAAGTCCTACTGTTCTTCTTGCTCCAAAATGACCAGAGGACATGCTTTAATCTCAATGTGGCTGATGATTCTCCTTGGCTCTGCAGACTCCCATATTTTGGATTTGGGTTTCCAGATTTAGCTTACTGCTGGCCTAGGAAAGAGGAAGCTACAAACCATCGCCCCACCCCACTCCACACAGCCATACACTGACCACTCGTAAACAGCAGAGTTGAGGCTTGGTGACTCTCAGGGAATTTCCAGGACATGACAGGACATGCTATATGGTGGCTTCATTTACCCTGTTTTGTTGGAGCCTGTGAGCTTGTGCTAATGAATGGATTGTGTCTCCCTGCCAGTGAATTTTACCTGGCCTAGAGAACGCCAGGCAAACATGAACAGTTCTGAGTGGGTGCCCTTTGGGGACCATGCAGGAACCTGTGCTGCTGTTGACATCTTCATAAGTGACTCTGGCGAGTGACTGGACCTACACTGTGTTCTGACTTAGCCAGCTGTGTGCAGTTGAGGGTCCCGGTCCTCAGCTGTTCCTTCTTCCCATCCTCTCTTCACCAGAACAGGTAGATAAAAGCAGATAAACAAGCAATGCCTGTGTACACTGTTGATGTAAACTGGTATCTCCATTACAGAAATCAAGATGGCGGTTCCTCAGAAATTCAGCACAGAACTGTTGTATTGTGCAGCCATTCCAGTTCTGGCTACATATGCTAAAGAACTGAAATTGGGAAACTAAACAGGTCTTTACACAGCCATGTTCACAACAGTATCGTTGCAAATACCCCAAAGGTGAAAACAGCCCAAAATATCTATTGACAAGTGACTACACAAAAGTTGGCATATGCATATAGTGGTATTTTATCCAGCCTTAAACAACAGGACATTCTGACACATACTACAACATGGGTAGATCTTGAAAACATACTCAATTTTAAAAGGCAGACATAATAGGATAAATCCTGTATGATTACATCAAAACATTTTATTTTATCTTGTTAAAACTTACTTTGTATCTGGAATCTTTTTTGTTAATTCTCAACAATGTGACCTTTTCCCTGATTCAAATTAAAATTACAGTCTCTGACTCCCCATTTTGCTTTGGGGGGATCATGCTGCTCATCTTCACATTTGCCATTCGATGTGGCCTGTTTCTGGTCCCCAGGAGCAGGTGTCATTATCTCCATTTTCCAAGTGAGGAAAAGGAGGCTCCCAAAAGGTAAGTGATTTGCATAGCCCTGTGGTGGCCTGGCCTGGTGCTTGTATCCTGCAGTCTCTGAAAGGAGAGAAGAGGAGGTTCTTGCTAAGGGGCAACCAGCAATCTGGGCTGGGCCTTGCAGGGAACTGTCGTTTCTTGTCAAAGCACAATAGGAGGTGAACAAGCTGCAGCTCCCCTGAGACTGTCTGGAAAGGCCCCCAGGAGGAGCTGTGCACTCAGAGTTAATGGACCTAATTAATGCAGTCTCATGAGCAAGTAGGAAAAATGTGAGTGACGCTGTTGTTATGACCGGGAGTGGTGGGGCCCTCAGAGTTGCGTGTGGGTTGGAGTGGAGGTTTGCCTTGAGCTGGGCTTGGGCCTGGCTCCTGCTCCTAAGATCTCCTGGGCTTACTTGCTGCAAATAGAGACCGGGAAAATAAAGGACAAGGAAACATACGTAAGGAAAGCCAGAGAAGGAATGGGAAACCATGAGCCGTATCAGGGTCTTTGTGTGGGACTCGTTTAGATATTCTATTTGCATTTGAGTTGGTTGGTTGGTAAAATCTGTAAGAGGTGATTAGAAAATATGGTGACTGTTTAAATAAAAATTTTATTACAAAAGAAAAAAAAATTTTATTACAGTAAAAGAGACACTGCCAGTAATCCCCTTCAGAATATCCCCCTCACTTCCAACACACTTATCCCATTGTTTTTGCTACTTCTGGAAGCAGTTCTGGAAAGTGTTTTCATGAGTACCTTTATAAGGTGTGAGCAAAGTAAATGCTGTTGCCCACAGCCATTTGATGGAAAAGGCTGGCTCATAAGGACATTATGGTGGGCTGGGGAGATAGCTCAGTGGAATAAGTGCTTGCCTGGCACCCGCAAGGTCTAGAGTTTGATCCCTGGTACCACAAAAAAAAAAAAAAAAAAAGTTATGGTGTCTTCATTTATCATAGTCACTGGATCTGGCACCGTGTGACCTCTGCCTGTTCTCCAAAGTCAAAATGACCATGCACGGTAAACATTTTGAACCAATTCCGCACACAGAGTCACCCACACCAGTGCAACTTAGGGCAGTCTTAAAAGAGGACTTCCAGAGCCGCTTCAGAAAACAGCAAGAACTATAGAATAATTGTTCCAAGCAAGGAAGAGTGTTTTAAGAGTGACTAATAGCAATATGTCTTTTAATATAATTTTTTATAAAAAAAATTAAACATTTGCCGTAGTTCACAGATGAAAGGATTACCAGGCATAGAAGCCTGCCTTCCATGCAGTAGGTGTAATAGAAATGCTAGCAATGATGGTTCTAAGATTTTCCCACCTTTGACTTGCAGGGGCTTGCCCACCACCAGCGATGCCCTGCCCTTGCTCTAGCTTGAGTCACCTTCTGTAAACAAGATGGCGGTGGGGAGTCCCTGAGCCCATGAAGGGTGAGGCCCCTTCCATCCCAAAGATGGGGAACATCACTGCAGACAATGCCTCGCTGAGCTGTACCATTGACCACACCATCCACCAGACGCTGGCCCCGGCAGTCTATGTCACGGTGCTGGTAGTGGGCTTCCCGGCCAACTGTCTGTCCCTCTACTTCGGCTACCTGCAGATCAAGGCCCGGAACGAGCTGGGCGTGTACCTGTGCAACCTGACCGTGGCGGACCTCTTCTATATCTGCTCGCTCCCCTTCTGGCTGCAGTACGTGCTGCAGCACGACCACTGGTCCCTTGGCGACCTGTCCTGCCAGGTGTGCGGCATCCTGCTGTACGAGAACATCTACATCAGTGTGGGCTTCCTCTGCTGCATCTCTATCGACCGCTACTTGGCTGTGGCGCATCCCTTCCGCTTCCACCAGTTTCGTACCCTGAAGGCAGCTGTGGGGGTCAGCGTGGTCATCTGGGCCAAGGAGCTACTGAGTAGCATCTTCTTTCTCATGCACCAGGAGGTAATTGAGGACAAGGACCGGCATCGTGTCTGCTTTGAGCACTACCCCATTAAGGCCTGGCAGCGCAGCATCAACTATTACCGCTTCCTGGTGGGGTTCCTTTTCCCCCTGTGCCTGCTGCTGGCCTCCTACCGGGGCATCCTGCAGGCCGTGCGCCGGAGCCATGGCACCCAGAAGAGCCGCAAGGACCAGATCCAGCGGCTGGTGCTCAGCACTGTGGTCATCTTCCTGGCCTGCTTCCTGCCGTACCACGTGCTGCTGCTGGTGCGCAGTGTCTGGGAGGCCAGCTGTGATTTTGCAAAGAGTATCTTCAATGCCTATCACTTCTCCCTGCTCCTCACCAGCTTCAACTGTGTCGCCGACCCTGTGTTGTATTGCTTCGTCAGTGAGACCACACACAGGGACCTGGCACGCCTCCGCGGGGCCTGTCTGGCCTTGCTCACCTGTGCCAGGACCAGCCGGGCTCGGGAAGCCTACCCACTGGGTGCCCCCGAGGCCTCTGGGAAAAGTGGGGCCCAGGGTGAGGAGCCTGAATTGCTAACTAAGCTCCACTCGGCCTTCCAGACCGCTAGCTCGCCTGGAGCAGGAGGGTCCCCCATGGCCTAGCCAGGGTCACCCACATGTGGGGATAGGTAAGGCCTGAGCTTTCAGCCCACCAGTCTTGTGGTCCTGAGCTTGCACCTGGCTGCCTCCTGCTTTGACCTGACCTGGCAGGCGTCTCTTCTGCTGGAGGGATGGAAGGACTGGCCGAAGACAGGCCTCTTTGGTCCCTGGAAGCCTGCTCCAGCTTGCCGAGGCTGGTGACACTGCCCAGGATAGAAAGATCCCTGTCAGCTCCTGGGCATCCTTGGCTGCCAGCTGGGGCTGCTGCTGGGAGGGTGGCTGTGACTTGTCACTTCCAGGAAGTTTGTGAAGAGTAACTGGGGGTGGGAGCATAGAGTTCAAGGACTCAGAGGCTGGGGAGTTGGGAGGTGGACTGGGGACCTGCGTGTTCACCTGCCACTGCCTGCAGTGTCACTGTTGTCACAGATGACGCCTGTGCAAATGTGTGGCCACTACCCTATTCTGTGACATGTGAAGCTGCATTGTTGTTGTTGGCACTTGAAAGCCACATCCGCAATGGGGTGGGCAGGGAAGACTGGCTAGGAAGAAGGAAGGTGGAGGCATTGCTGACCTTGGGGTAAAACAGAAACCCCGTCTCCAGCCATACCATGCTGTACAGGGAGAGGGGAGAAGATCCCCCAGGTCAGAAGGCTAATGGCAGACGAAGTCCTGGGGAGAGGCCTGAGCGACTTCCAACAGTCAGTTTGTCCTTAACTAAGTTCTTGACACAGTTCTGCTACTTAGCTTTCTGTTTCCATCTGCCCCAAAGTGCCAGGCTGGGAGTCTGGAGTTTGGCAACACACACACACACACACACACACACACACACACACACACACACACAGTCGGGGGAGAAAAGGAAGAAAGAGGTTAAAAATGCCAGGCTCCCCATGACAGCTGTTTGCTAAGACACTGAGACAAGGGTCATGTCTTTCCCAGTCCTTGCTACACACACCCTGAAGCATTTCGCATCTCAGAGAGGATTGCAGCATTGTGCCAGGGTTCTTGGATGCACCCAGACCAACAAAGCCCATGCATGCATCCTGGGATCCTTAAGCTCACAGGTCGGGGCTTAAGCTCTGCTTTGTTTTAAATAGGTCCTGTGACCAAGAGGCGAGGTGGCCTGGAACTCACCTCGCTCCTTTCCCACCCAGGGTGCTCTGCCCGATGTCCCAGCTCACCTCCCTAGAGATGGCAGTGGATTAGTGGGTATATGAAGCCCAGGACTCAGGCCACCAACTGCATCCTGTCCTGGAGGGTTAGGTATAAGGCTCATCTCTTGCAGCTTCATGGCTGGCCACAATTAGGTGTCCTTCCTACCCTTGGCATGTGCATAGGTTTCTCCTGTTCTGTTTTGCAGTAAAGCTTCCTGCTCCTAGGGTGCCACCCTCTCAGAGTTCTCTGGAGAGCAGAAGAGAGGCGCATGGGTTCTTTGGCCTCATCTGACTTGTTCAGAATAGAGACTTGACTTTTTTTTTTTTTTTTTTTTTTTTGGGTGGAACTGGGATTGAACTCAGGCCCTTGCACTTGCCAGGGAAGCGCTTATTCTACTGAGCCATCTCCCTGGCCCCAAGACTTGGCTTTTGGACTGTGCTGAGCATAGCACTGGCCTGGTGAACACAGCAAGGGCCAGGGGAGCCACTTGCTGTCCCAGAAGACTACCTTCGTGAAAATGCTAGTGCTTTAGACTTTCTGTACAGAGGCTGCAGCCAGCTCTGACTTTGCAGGGCACGCCCTCTAAGACCTGGAGTTCAAGTCCCTCCATGCCAAAAGCCAGGAAGGTTGAATGGTGGTAAGGAACCAGGGCAGGGAATAGGCCATGGTTGGTATCAGTAGAACATTCTCAACTCTGCTAAGGGTAGGGTTGGGAGGGCAGGCAGAACTTCATCTTCAATCTTCCTTCCCACTTCTCACCAACTGCCAAGAGCCTCATCCTTAATCTGTATATCAGAGGAGACCTGAGGCAGATAACCCAAGATGGACATGCCCTAGAAAGGGTGCATTTTGAGGTCCCAGGCCTATACTTGGCTATGAAGCCCCACTCCAATTCCTTGTGGAGCCTGAAATGGCCTGGGAGCTTCTCTTCTTTTTCCTTCTGGGGCGTTAGTATTGGCTGAGCCCTTGAGCCTCTTTGTTCTGCAGCATTCTTCCCTAATGTTGACCTTAAATGCAGGCGTTCCTGCTGGCATGGACTGGGATGAGTTGGGAGCAGTACTGTTTACTGTGGAGAAATGTATTTGTTGTATTTTCCTATCCTTTACACCAAGTATACATCAGAAGCATACGTGTGTTGGACTGTGCAATGGATTTATGTAGCAAGCTTCAGTCTGCAAATAAAGAAAAGTAGCCAGCCACAGTGCATGTGCTGCAGTCTTTCTATAGCAGGGCGCTTCCAACACCAGGGACATCTAGAAGGAACATCCTCTGAGCTCTCAAAGCAATCAGAAAAATCATGGAATTGACCTCAGAAAAAACTCAGAGCAACCGGAGTATTGGCCCTTGACCATCCACCAAGTGGTCAAGGACGGAGCCCCTCCACTGAAGCGATGTTTTCTCTCTGCTTTTGAATCTGCTCTGGGATTTAACTCTGGGGGGCAGAGTCCAGCTCTGTGATTTGGAGAATGCTACTCCCTCCGTCTTTGGCCTCTTGACCCTTTGTACTTGCTGTGTAACTCCTTCCAGAGCAAAGGGGACTCCATCAGATGACCCCCTCCTTAGCAGAAAGACCCACTGCATTCATCTCTGGGGGGGTTTCCTCAGTGGTGGGGTGCTGTCTGAGGAGGCCCACACTGGTTGGCCATCCTCTTCAGGCTGGATGATCTTCTCAGTGGTGGAAGATGACAAGTTTATCACCAAGGATTAACTGCATCCTGTTGAAATGTAAATTTGATTTTGATCACTTAATCCCCCTTGGTCAGGCTCCTGGAGTTCTGGAGCGCTCTGCAAGAGTAGATGCTTATTCTAAGACTTAAGTAAGAACATTACTGGGGATTAAGGCTTCTTTCTTTCCAGAGAGGAATGGGTGGGAGAAAAGTCTATCTGGTTTGGACTGAAGGTGGTAGAAACCATTAAGATTCCATTTTTGTTTGCTAGTATTGATTAGTAAGGCGAGGGCTCATTTTCCTGTCTGTATACATTGGTCTGTGGGTTGGCCAGAGAAGAGTGGGAGAACTCTTCAACACAAAAACATCTCCATCTGCTGTTTTCCTCCAGTTGATACAATGAAGACAGAGCCAGAATCTGACGCTCTTGGATCCATGTTTTTTTTTTTTTTTTTGTGGAACGGGGGATCAAACTCAGGCCCTTGTGCTTGCCAGAGAAGCACTTATTCCACTGAGCCATCTCCCCGGCCTTGTTCTGTTTTTTTAAGACTCTGCTTTCAGCAAGGTTTATTTGTAGCTGTGGCATAACTCATCTTTGCCCACTACTGCTTGGAGGGTCTAATGCTGAAAACTGGGCTGTGAGAGTTGTTTTCAAGCACTTGAAGGGTCACATGGCTCAGTTAAGGCTGGTGGGTAGAGAGGTTCTACTTGGCTCATTAATAGTTAAGATTTTCTGCCCAGCCCTGGAATGACCTGTCTTAGACAACCATGAGTCATCTGTCATTGGTAGAGTTTGTGGAGAGACTGAGCTATCATTTTTGAGGATGCAGAGGGAATGCTTCAGAGTGAGGAAGTTATCTAGCATGAGCTCTCTGGTACATTCCAGCATAGATATTTAGTGTCTAACCCAGCAATATTCCCTGGTAGTTGTTGAGGTAAAATAAATGGGATTGAAATCCTAGTATTTCCTCAGAGCACTAGCACCACTGTGACCTCAGGATAGATGTCATCCAAGGTCATGGTCTTGCCAGATAGGTTCTAGGAATGGAGGCTGCAGAATCACCAGCTGCAAGAAGTGGGTTTAAAAAAAAAACATGGACCCAAGAGTGTCATATTCTGGCTCTGTCTTCATTGTATCAGCTGGAGGAAAACAGCAGATGGAGATATTTTTCTGTTGGGCAAAGGTGGATTATGCCGCAGCTACAAATAAACCTTGCCCAAAGCAGAGTCTTAAAACAAGTGGATCTGGGATGCAGCTCTGTGGTAGACTATACTAAGCATGAATAAGACCATGCGTTCAATCCTAGCTCAAAAAACCAAAACCAAATCAAACCAAACCCAATGACATTTTGTGTGTGTGTGTGTGTGTGTGTGTGTGTGTGTGTGTGTATTAGAGGCTATTTTCTGGCAAGTCTTTCCTAAACTATGGCATTGATTTAAGATCCTTCCATGAGGGGCTGGGGAGATGGCTCAGTAGAATAAGTGCCTGCCTGCAAGCGCAAGGGTCTGAGTTCAATCCCCAGTTCCGCAAAAAAAAAAAAAAAAAAAAAGAAAGATCCTTCCAGGAAGAGCTTTCATAATCTTGGGGTCTTCCCATCCTATTGGCCAGATCATAACAACATGGCCCCAATGTAACTGCAAGGGAGGCTGGGAAATGTAGTTTTTCTATACATGAAGAAAGAAGAGGCAGAATTGTTAAGGGTTTGGCTAGTCTCTAACAGATGTTTTCATTTTCCTTTGAGCAAAAATCTTTTTCAATGTGCTACCTGGATCTGAACTGAAATTAAGTCTGTCTGGCCTGATCAGAAGAAAAATGGGGCATTTTCCTTTCTCCTTACTCCTGGCAAGCAGATCATTTAACTGATTTATCTTGAGTTTTGGCAAATTGCTGGTAAGCCACATCTCTGTCCTGTTACAGAGCCATGAACTTCATTGTGGAGCCAGTAGAATCCATGGGTAACATGGGTTCCACAGGTAACAACAACCATGTTGGAGTTGGGCATCAATAGCGCCTGTGCAATGAGAGATAAGAAGTGACCTCAAAGGCATGTTTTTCTCCAGCTGAGCACTGGGGTATCCCTTAGCCAAGGGGACTTGAGGCCTAGTTGGCTCCCTTGGCTTCAAGTCCCAGTTCCTGTAAGCTCTGTATGGAATGTGCTACCTTAATGTGCCCAAAGTCCCCTGCTTGCCCTTAAATTGCCAGAGAGCATTGTGCATACTATTTACCAGGACTCCTTCCTGGACATTCCTGAAAATGCCAAGGGATGCTTATGTGTCCTATAAGGCCATCCTGGCCAGCACCAGGCTTATCTCCAGCCCTGGGTGAGCCCACCGTTCCTTTGTAAATTACTTCATGTCCCCTTCATCAGCTTCTCCGGGATACAGCCTGGCCCTCCAGCCCATCATAACCAATGACACAAGCCCTTCATCTGTGCACAGGCACAGCTTGGACAAATCTAAGCAAAGGCAAGCAAGACTTTACTAGGGGTCTGAGCAGAAGTCATTTTGTGCTGTGGAAAAATGTTGAAACTGGATCCTGAAAGGAGGAGCTCGAATGATTCTTTGGCCAGATCTTGCTCAAAGGTCTTGTCCAGATCCTCCCTTTCACCTTAGCCCCTACTGCAGGGTCCCAGGCCTGCCTCACTGCCAGGAGCCTTTACATGTCACACCAAGTCTAGCATCCCTATTCCCTATTCTCAGCCTTCTCTGGACTCATCTGGATCTCAGCCTCTTTCCCAAACAATTTGCTCATCCCTCCACAGAGTTCTGTCCAGGTAATCTATTACATGGTTATGCCTCACACAGCTCTACAGAATTATGCCATCGCTGTTTTGGTTTGTGTCTTAATGTCCTCCCAAAGCCTCACATGGTCAAAGGTGGGGGACAGGCTTTTTGGAGGCAGATGAATCTAGAGTTTGTGATTGGTTCACTGGGTATTGCTGGGATTAGTGATGTGAGCACTACACTTGTGCTAGGGTGGGTCGCCTGCATACAGTATGCAAACAAAGGGAGGAAAAGAAGCTTGCTCAGCCCTTTTTGCTCTTCCTGTTCTTGTATCTTCTTCAGCCATGAATTGTTTCCTCTCTGCCATGTCACCCTGCCTTGAAGTCAGCTGATTATGGACTGAAACCTCTACAAACTATGAGCTACATAACCCTTTCCCTCTTTCACTTTGGGGACCAGGTATTTTTGTTTCAGCAACAAGAAAAGTAACTGAGACAATTTGGTTCCAGACAAGTGGGGTCATTGCTATGACTGTACTTGACCACATGATTCAGGAGCCTTGGAAATTAATTTGGAGAGATTGTGAGAGACTGGCCAAAGAGGCACCCCCCATCTGCTATAAACCATGTGAGAGACTCTGGTCAGATCCTAGGAAATTAGAGTACTGATGGGTCTGCTGTCATTTAGGGTGAAGCTCAGGTGGTTTCTATTGAGAAGGACCGCATTGGCTGCTGGACCCCAGGTGGTGTCTATTGTGCACTGGCAGGAAGTTGTCCTGTAGTTTGCTTGTGTTTAGAGATATTGCCTGAGTGGCAGAAAAATTTCAATGTAGTCTACTGTTGAGAGGTTTTAGCTGGATCTGCATTGAGAATCAAGAGCAGACTGCCCAACAGAAATATATTTGGTTATTGTAGGGTCTAACTGTGCTTCTCGGACTCATGGTGATCCTCCTGCTTTCAGCTTCCCCAGCTCTGGGATGGGCCAGCTGGGGGCGGGGCTTCCACGGCATGTGGTGCCGGGGATTGAACCACAGTCCCTGAGCTTGCCTAAGCGTTCCTAAGCAGGTGCTTTACTCTGCTGAGCTATCTCGCCCAACAGAATGATTAAAATATTGTTTGAGTTTGACCAGAAGTAAAGCTGTAAAGTCAAGCTGTGGATTTCAGAAATGAAGCAGAGATCTTGATTGCTGAAAAGGGAGAGAGGAATACAAAAGACGGCCTGAGGACATCACAAGAAGCAGGTCTCCATCCTTTGCAGCCTCAAAACTTTGCTTTAAGAAGAAAGCCCCAGAGCACCAGGTTCCAGAATACGTGGGGCCCAGGGAATTTGTTCCTCAGTATAGGATTCAGAGTGCTTAGAAATCCAAGGGCTTGACCCTACAGTGAAGAGAGAGGGAAACCTGGCTACTGCTTCAGCTGGCAGCAGACCTTGGCATCATCCGTGTGGCACTGGTTTTAGGCTCATGTAGGATGCAAGAGTGCTTAGGTTAAAAAGGCTTCCACTCAGATTTCACAAGAAGGCCTGGGAGGCCAGGGAGTGTGCTCCTGAGAGGGCAATATGTGAAACTATGAGAGTGAAGCCAAAGATGCAGCGGAGACCCCAGAAGCTTAGAGAAGACAAGAATGTGGATCACCTGAGGAAAACTGCAAGGATTGAGCAGAGTGGGCCCAAAAGAGAAGCCACAGGAGCTACAACCACCACAAGTACCACAGAGATGGAGCTACCCAAGTTCTTCAGAGTTCACATGTTGCCACAAATTCCTGCTGCACACAGAATTGCAGGATTTAATTTACCCCGCTGGATTTTGGACTTGCTTTGGTTCCCATTCCTTTGTATCTCCTTGTTTGTAACTTTTGCAAGGGAAGTGTTTGTCTTGTACCATTGAAATTAGAAGTGTTGGACTTTTCATTACAGGGGTTCACAGCTAAAAATTTGCCATATATGTCCCAGGAGACTTGGGACTTGGACTTTTCAGCAATGCTGAAAGTGTTAGGACTTTGGCCACTCGTAGAGGTGAACTAAATGCCCTTTGCATAAAAGAATGTGCAGAGTCTTTGGGGGGCAGGTGGAGTGTTATGGTTTGTGCCTGGATGTCCCCTGAAAGTCTCATGCAGTCAAGGAGGGGGCAGGTTTTTCAGAGGTGGCTGAATCTAGAGTCTGTGATTGGTTCATTGGCTATTGCTGAAATTAGTGACGTGAGGGCCACACCTGCCCTAGAGTGGGTAGCCTGCATACGATAAAAGGAGGAACAGAGGCTTGCTCTGTCCTTTTAGCTCTTGTTCCTGTAACTTCCACTGCCAAGAACTACTGCTCCTCTGCCACCACCCTGCCTTGGAACCAGCTGATTATGGATAGAAACCTCTATACACTGTGAGTAAAAAGACATTTAACTCTTTAATTCTGGGCATCCGATATTTTTGTCCCAGCCACAAAAAAAGTAACTGAGACACTATTGCAAAACCAAAGGTTAATTCCTGTCTTCTTTGAATATGGGTCAGAATGCTGGTGTCTTTCCATAGCAATGGCTTCTTTCTTGTTGCCATCAAGATTTCCAAAATGTCCAGATACCATCTTCATCAAAGGACCCTATATCATAAAACTTTGGCCTGGCCAAATAGCTCAGTGGATTAAAGTGCCTGCTTAGGCAGATACAGCAGCTGGGATTCAGTCCCCAGTGTGCTGTGATAGGGATTGAGACTGGGCGTGGTGGCACACCTGTAATCCCAGCTCTTGGGAGGCTGAACTCAGGCGGATCACTACGAGTCTGATCTATGCAGTGAGACCCTGCAAACCCTGTAGGTCCTGTACTAAACACACACACACACACACACACACACACACACACACACACAATTAAAAAAATAAAACAATTGAAGTCCCCAGTTAAGGACCAAAAATTGTAATTGGAGGAGACCTGATAAGGGGGCAGGTGGGCCAATGAGCTGTGAGGTCATAGGCTGAGGACCAGGTGCCCATTGTGGGGGTGAGGGTGAGGTAAAGCCTGATGCCTCTAATATACGCACATGCTCTGCAGGTGGGAGCCCCTGACAGCATGATATTGTGGACCCAACTATTGTACGTCAGTCCAGGGGCTTTACCACCCCACTGTGAAGAATTCAATGTTAAAAATTCCAGAACCACTTTATTATACTGATGCCTTATTAGAGTGTAAAATGTTAGTTTATTTATTTTTATTTATTATTTTTGGCAGAACCGGGGATTGAATTCAGGCCCTTGCACTTGCTACGCAAGCACTTATTCTACTGAGCTATCTCACCAGCCCCTACAGTTTATTTCTATACCATGTATTTATTCTTTAAATTGAATGCCCCTTAAAATATCGAACTACATTGGGCATAGTGACCCATGTTTGTAATCTTAGCTTCTCAGGAGGCTGAAGCAGGAGGACTGCAAGTTAAAGGTCAGCCTTCGCAATTTATCAAGGCTCTAGTCTCAAAATAAAATAAAAATGGTTAGGAGTGCAGCTCAGTGGTCGAGGGCTGGCCTAGTATGCTTGAAATGCTGGGCTCAATGCCCAGTACTGGGGGGCCAGGGAGGTGGCTCAGTAGAATAAGCGCTTGCCTGGCAAGCACAAGGGCCTGAGTTCAACCCCTGGTTCCGCAAAAAAAAAAAAAAAAAAGTCTTATGTCGCTCAGGCTGGCCTCAGGTCCAGGTAGCCCAGGCTGGCCTCGAACTCATGGTCATCCTGTTGGCTCAGCCTCTGGAAAGCTGAGGACAGACGTGAGAAACCGCGTCCAGCAAACAATGCCCAGTACTGGATGCTCCTTGGTGGTCTAGTGGTTAGGATTCAGTGTGTTCAATACCCAATACTGCAAAAATCAAATTAGACGCATTAAAGGAAATACAGTAAGCCTGACAAATAGTAGGGCCATAGCTGGGTCTGCCCCATCGGATGAATCAGCTGTCACTCAGCAGGGTGCTGCACAAGATGCTGTCTTGGTCCCAGATGTAAAGTAAGAGTGGAACAGGACATGGCCAATACTTCAGTTTCTGAGTCTGTTGAAAACTGTGCAGTGGGAGTTTGTGAAAGAGACCAGGACATGCTGCCTGGGAGAGCTCTGTGAGCAGCCCAGCTCCTGGTCAGCTTGATCCAGCCTTGAACGACAGGGCTGCAGCTGCCCTCCTGGGCTGGGAGGGCAGAGCATCCAGCTTGGGCTTGGCGTGAGTGGATGGTGAGGGAGTGGAAGGGGTCTGGGGGTGCTGAAGGGACAGGAAGGCCGAAAGGGAGGTAATGGATGGAGCGATCACTTGCCTAAGTAAGCAACATGCAATTTGAGAAGGAAGACTTTTCAAAGGTATAAATATTTTGGTGGTGCAGAGTAAACCTTCCACAAAGCACAAATGCTTTGGAAATACACATTCCACATCTATGCGTTTTACCCTTTCTTATCCTAGAGGATTATTCCTGGCCTTGGTGACACCTATGCTTGTTCCCTGCCTACCAGTTAATTGTTCACTGGTGTCCCTGTAAGTGATAGGCAAGAAGCTTCTCAGGGGAGACACGCAGGTGGCCTGAATGAGCCAATGTGAAGCGAGTTGAATTTCCCTCGTATATCAAGTCCAGAGCAAAACTTTGAAATGGCCTTGTCTCTGAGCAGGATTTAAAATTAACCAACTGGCTTTCCATGTTTACTTGTCAGTCTATCCAAGGCCTAGGCCCCTTGTCTAGAGATGGGCAGTGGATTTGTAGTATGCGATACTCTATGAATCACTGGTCCCAGGTGAGGCCTATATTGGCCTGTGAAGCTGTGATACTTCCAAGGACAGATGAAGCCACAGATAAGGCCATCTGGCTCCAACCCCAGTTAAGTAAAGGAGACTGAAGCTGCAGGGTCCACACTCTGCAATAAATGTCAACCTAGAGATAAGGTAGTTCTCCTTCCTGATTGACATAATTTTTTTTTTTTTTTTTTTTTTTTTTTTTTTTTTTTTTTTGCAAAACTGGGGATTGAACTCAGGCCCTTGCACTCGCCAGGGAAGCGCTTAATCCACTGAGCCATCTCCCTGGCCCCTGATTGACATAATTTTTACTACTTGGGAAAATATCTGAAATGACTGGCAAAGTCCTGCTCAGATTCCTGACCTTTCCTAAGCATCCCCTTCTCTTGTTTGAAAACCAGATAAATATGGGCCACCCAGAGAAGTTCTTTGTCTCAGCTCCCAGAGAATCTTGAATTCTGTTAGAGAGTTTTGAACCGATGGGAGCCCTAAAATCAAACCACTTGTCTTTTATTTAAGCCTTCCCCATCCACTCACTGGGGAGACTGCAGGCCTGATCAGCCCGTGACAGTCCCTGGTCCACACCATCAGCTCCTATGTAGACTGTTTCGTCCCAGGAAGAAAGTGTGTAGCTTCCCGTGAGTGCACTGCTCCCCCAGGGCCAGTGTAGGTTTGTGGGGCTACTGTGAACAGAAGCTCGGGCTCTGGGAAAATCTTGCCTCAATGCAGGCCTAGCCGTCATGTAGGGACTTTGTGTATGCGTAACGCATTTGGTCACATGTGCCGCTTGGTGATGCCCAGTAACTTCTGGATCATCTCAGCATGGACGCCAGGGAAGGGCAGCCCATCCACCTCCATGCCCATGATGCCTGAGACTCTACTTCACACCTTGTGCTGGACTAGGATGCCTAACATTTTTTCTTCCTGGAAAAAAATCAAACAAGGCAGAGGCTGAAGTTGTGGAGGGTGAAGGAAAAGCAAGAAATGCATTCATTTGCAGGCAGAGCAAGAGCCTTTGACCTGATGTATCTCTTTGGAAAGAAAAAAGTTGTCTTGTCATCTAAGTTACTCAGGCAGCTGAGGCAGGAGGATCACAAGTTCAAGGCCAGCCTGGGCAACTTAGCAAGACACAATTTCAAGAGACAAATTTAAGAAAAAGGGGGCAGGATGTAGCTCAGCATTTGCTTAGTTTGTCTAAGGCCTTGGGTTCAATCCCCAATGTTAATTTTTTTTTTTTTTGGTGGAACCAGGGATTTGAACTCAGGCCCTTGTGCTTGCCAGGCAAGCACTTATTCTACTGAGCTATCTCCCCAGCCCCCAATTATTTTTTAACTAAAAATACTTGTGTCACTGGAAAGTTTACAGTGAAAACTAAAGCCACATCATGCCTCAGCAGCCCCTAAACTCGCTCCCTGGAAGTCCCCACTCACACAGGTCAGGCTGTTCTTTCAGGTCCTTCCTCTGGTGTCTCCAAATCCAGTGCTCCTATGGAGACCTGCATTTTCTTGCAAACATTAAAAGTTCATCCTCCACCAGGGGCGCTGTGGGCCACATCAACCCAGCGCTGCCCAGGCTGGATGACCCATCTACCAGCAGCCTGAGTGCCCTGGGGGCTCCTATTCCCCCAGCCCCCACCCTGTGTGGGCCAAAGCCTGCCACTGTTGCTGTGTAGGTTTTGCCCAGCACAAAGGAGAAAGCAGGAAGGAGCAGAGCTGTGGAGAAAACACAGTCCAGGACCCAGATGCAGAGTGCCCTCTGGGACCAGACAGATCCTGGCAGGTGTTTGGAGAGCATTTCTTGGGGTCCACACCTATAAAAGTGGGGATGTTGCCAATAATCATAGCAGTGCCCTTTTCAGAGGCAGTTGAAGGATTAAATGAGGTAATGGAGGTAAAGCACCCAGCATGGCCCTTTGGCACACAGTAGGTGTTCACAAAATGATTATTAAAGGTAGAGCTGGGGCTCAAGGCCTTTCTTTCTTTGACTCACTTGGTTGATGGTTGAGGGGGAAAAAGGTTTGACCCTTGAGCTCCCTCTTTGCCATTCTCTCCAAAAATTAGCTGTCTAAGCCACTAATGTGTCTGTGGTGGAACAGCTCAGAGCTCTTTGAGGAACATGGCTACATGGCTCTCAGAACGCATCAGGCAACAGGAGCAGAGGTCAAACACATCCTTCCTCCCGCCACAGGCAGAGAGGAGAGGTGAGACCAGAGACCAGAGGCTATTAGGGCTGGGGTGAGAAAGCTCCCTCCTCCCCAACAGGCATGCTTTTAATCTATCCCATTGTCTTATCAGTTCTATTGAGCACCTGTGGGGCCAGGTGATGACTTAGAGATACAGGAGTGAGTGTGACAGAGTCCTGTCCCCAGGGGTTCCCATCTAGAGGAGTAACTAGGTAGTCACAGACTGTAGGGGCCACAGGACAGAGCAGAACACCCAGTACAGCTTATTGTGTGTGGCCTAGGGAAACTGTGGAAGAGAGGTAGTAGGGGCTGCATGTTTGTGTTCTCCAAAGACATACACTGAATTCCTAATCCTCAAGGTGACAGCGTTTGAAGTTAGAGTCTCAGGGAGGTAATGAGGTTAAGCCAAGGTCATGAAGGTGGGACCTTCATGATGGGATTAGTGCCCTTATAAGAGGAGGGGCCAGAGCTGTCCCTATGTCTACTATACTAGCGCAGTGAGAAGATAGACAGCCCTTACCAAGAATTAAACCTGCTGGGGTGAGTCGATGGGGAGGAGGTGGACAAGGGAGGCAACGCTTGGAGCCAGCCTTGATGTTGGACTTTGCAGACTCTAAGACTCTGAGGACTGACAGGTTTTTTTTTCAGGTGGCTGGTGCAGCAGAGAAGCAGGCAAAAGGCAAGGGCCTGAGTTCAATCCCCGGTTCTGGGAAAGAAACCAAACCAAACCAGGCAGAAGGAAGAAGAGAAAGGGGCTTTACTTTCTTTGAGGACACAGAGAGAATTTGGGAAGATGAGGAATTCTCTGGATTGGAACAAAGGGAGGCTGAGGCTCTTGTGGCCTGTTGCCAGGGGTGGGGCTTGAGGGGGCTGTTTAGATAGACCTGAGGAGCTGACTGGGGCCTTCCCTGAGGTGGCGGGAAGGGTGAAAGAAAATTGCAGTCTGGGCTGAGTTGGAGAATGAGGATGAGGTGGTCTTGTGAAGATGGGCCTTTGTTTTAAGGGCTCTGGCCATATTTGATGAGCACCATAATGATTTTAGCAATTCATACTAGGGCCAGAACCTATCAAGGACCAAATGTTGTTGAAGTCACACCAGTCTACTGTGCTTTGTTCTAGCTCCCTGAGATGACTAAGATGAGGGGGAAATATGGCCAGAGATGATGAAAGGAGTGAGCCCAGGGAGGGGTGTCGAGGACACTCTTGAAAACTAAAATAACATGGGCAGCCAAATAGTTCAGCGGATTAAAGCACCAGTTTAAACAGATGCAGCTGGATGTTCCTTATGGGCCCTGCCCCCAGGGTACACTGAGACTGTGATTGAGACTGGGTGTGGTGGCTCGCACCTGTAATCCCAGCTCTTGGGAGGCTGAACCCAGGAGACTCACTACAAGTCCAATCTGTGTAGTGAAAATTAAAAATAAAATAAAATAAAATAAGAAGTAAAAGGGTTGCAAGTACTGGCAAATGTCACCTTGGGCTGCAGGCTGGGAAGCCTGAGTTTCTCTTTCTGCTCTGAGGCCAGGGTGGATGCTCCCCTGGAGGGAGGCCTAAGGGCATTTCCACTCTCCCACAAGAGCTCATTGTCCAACAGCCCCTTCCCTGGGGCTGCCCAGCCCAGAATGGTATTTTCCACCCTTTGTCTGGGCTTTATTTCCCCATTTCTCTTTCCTGGTGGTCACATCCTTTCTTTGTAGGGACATGCATCTCACTGTAGGACCATTTTCTTCAAGGCTGCTGCTTGCCCGGGACATCCTCATCCTTCTGTGACCCAGAGTGAGACGTGGGTCCTCTGGGTGCAGGTGACCATCCAGCAGGCTAGGAACGAGCTGCCACTCAGCCTCTAAGGGTCCCTGGATCCAGCTGGGCTAACAGCTACTCCCTGCACATTTCCACAATCGCTGAGTGGTCACCTCATCTTCTCAGAAGCCGTGTAGGGGTGATGGTGGTTAGGAAAGAGGACTGAGGCAGGAGTAGCGGCCTGGTTCAGGCTGAGAGAAGGAGCAGGGCTGGCGCAGTGGACAGAGGGTCATGTGTGCACAGGAAGTGGGGCCTGACTTGATGTGGGTGGAGAACGAGGCCCCGGGAGACTTGTGGGATTAGGCACTGTGTGGAGGCACCAGCTATTAATTGCTGCCCGGCTGGTCTTTACAGGATGCGATGCTGCTCTAAAGTGTGGTGAAAAGCTGGGGGTGCTCTTACAGTCCCAGCTCCTTGGGAAGCTGAGGGCGAAGGACTGTTCAGAGTCAGGACTTCGGCTGTGGACTAACGCAGGTGTATGATGCTGGGTTAGTCTCTGTTTTAGCACAGTTCTCCGTGTGGGCGGTGGGTCTATTGAGAGGGAAGACCCACCACGAGAGCCGGTGGCCCCAACAGTAGGCGTGGCACATGGGAGGGATACAAAGGGCAAGAAGTCCCACTGCTCCTGCCTGCCCTTCCATGAACTGCTTCTGCTCTGCAGTGCCTCAGCGCCATGCCACGCTGCTTGGAGCTGGCCAGCTGTGGCCTCAAAGCTCTAACACTGTGAGCTAAAATAAACCTTTCCACCTTTAACTCGCGCGTGTTAGGTATTTTAGCCTGGCAATGAGAAAGTAACTAAGACAAAAGTGGAGTGAGACTAGGAAAGTCGGGACTGTTCTGCGCCTCGGTCTGGGGGGCAGGGCATGGGTGTGTATGTCTTAGTCGCTGTCTAGCCACAGACGCCCACAGTTTAAAGGAGGAAGGTTTGTTTTGGCTTACATTTTTTAGAGCTGGCTGGCTCCGGGGCAGAATTGGCATGGAGGCAGGGTCTGTGGCAGAGGATAGCTGTTCCCATCCTGGTGGTCAGGAAGCAGAAAGATGGGAGGAGCCAGGGAGGAAACGCACAATGCCAGGCCACGCCCCCAGTGACCCCCCTCGTCCAGCCAGTCCCCACCATCCGACACCAGGACAGCCCTAACGCCTGAAGAATCCAGTCACCCTCCACAAGGTCCTCTGAGCATGGCAGACCTTGAGGGGGAAATCCAGACATCATCCACACAAAGCAGATAAAATGTATCAAACAAGTTAGTTATGGGCGGGCCAAATGTCTCAGCAGAGTAATGCGCCTGCAAGCAGGAACAGGGGCCGGGGGTTCCATCACTGGGCCTGCTGTGCTGGCTCTGCCCACAGGGCACGTTGAGACAGGGAATGAGACTGAATGTGGTGGCTCGCACATGTAATCCCAGCACTTGGGAGGCTGTAAACAGGAGAATCACTACTGGTCCGATCTAGTAGAGACCCTGAATACCCTGTAGACCCTTTCCTAAAATACAGAAAGAAAACAAACAAGTTCGTTATACTTTATTACTTTTTTTTTTTTTTTTTTTTTTTTTTTTTTGCAGAACCGGGATTGAACTCAGACCCTTGCACTTGCCAGGGAAGCGCTTATTCTACTGAGCCATCTCCCGGGCCCCTAGTTATACTTTAAACAAAGTTACGGGGTGGGTGAAAGTGCTGGGAGAGAACAGGAGCCCCAGCTGAGGCCAGAGGCCATGTCCTGCCTCTCCACATCATTATTCATCTGCTTGTCCAGCATCCATCCATCCATCCCTCTGCCCTTCCACCAGCCCTTCCTTCCTTCCTTCTTTCAGTCCGTCTGTCCATTATCCTTCCATCCAACTTTTCCCAATGGCCTTCCCTGTGCCAGCCCCTGACGGAGTGACACACAAGCCCTGATTTGATCCTAGAAGGACCTTCACTCCCTCACTGCCCAGGCATGTGTAGAAAAGGGTCCTCTCCTCTTTCTGGT